CTTTCCTGTGGCCCCATCCACTGATGCCTTATAACCCTCTGGTCTTTTTCTGATGCCCCGGCTGACTGATAATCCTCCCACTGTCCTCAGAGAACTGGAAACTACTGCACTCATGATTTCAGTTTGAGGGAAAAGGGGGTTTGAAGAGTCAAGGTCAGAAGACTTGAGAACTGACTTTGTGATTTTTGTCCTTGTGTTTAACAGCAGAGCGTCATCAGTCACTAAACTCTCTGCAGTAACAGCTCTCAGATGTTCTGGACATGCTGTGCTTGTGCCATAGCTTCCAGCAATTTGAAAAAAAAAATGTTTTCATGATCCCATTTGGTGTGAATCACCATTGACTGCAGTAGCATATCGCTGATTCCAGACTTGTGAATTACTGCCCACATCTCTGTTTGGTTTGGTGGTGTAACAAGAGGTCTGCTGTTATCGGCTTTTTCCTCAATTTAAAACAAAATGAGTCTATCAGTGCTTCTGTGTGGACTGAAAGTGATGTTGAGCGAACCAGTACATTGGCCACTGCTGATTGGTCAGAGCAAAATAAACCCTTCTCAAACAGAAAACTGCTGCCAGAAGAGAAAAATGAAGAGAAACTAAACAAGACCTTCAGCCTGATTATCACAATGCCAGCAACCAACAACAGGCTGCATTACATTTGGTGAAGTGCCCCAAAGTCCCCCAGTTCACCATGTGGTGTTTAATGTATTTATTAATGCAAACTGAAGCTGGGGAGGGCGTAGTTAACTTCCAAACAGACTATGTTTAGGAAGAAAGGGAGCTCAATGAAGCCCAAAAAGCACTTTCCCTATAGACCTCCATTATAAATGAGATGTCTGTAAAACTGTGGACAGGACACCTCCACCTGAAAAATGTCAATTATTAGACTATGAATTTTTAAATCATGAAGGTTTTATATTTGTAAAGTCTAAAAAAAAAGAAGCTATTTTTATTTGCTCAGTGTCTTCAGATTGTGAGGGCTGAGTGGGAGAAAGACTAACACGTGTGCAGTGGGTTGCACAATGATTTTCCCATTCAGTTTGGTGTCCAGTTGTTATAATAGATCCACAGATTTTCACTACCTGCTGCTGGAGATCTTAAACACACCTGTATGTTCACCTGGGTCTCCACGTAAAGGCCAGCTCGCTCACACTGTCAACCTTGCACAGTTTTCTGCAGAGAAATCACAAATTTAGCTCACGTCTGAGATGTTATGTTTTGAGCTGCTACGATTAGTTGTTTGACAGAAAATTATACTGCAGCTACTTCAATAACTGAATAACAGCTTTAGTCCATTCTTGAGCAGGTAAAGTGAAAATCCTTGGATTTTGAACTATCAGACAAAATTAGAAAGTGACGATGTGAGCCTTAAACGGTTCATCAAAAACAAATCGGCCGTTTAATCAATAATAAAATAGCGTTAATAATTAGATCAGCTCTAGTGTGCTACTCAGTGATCAATGAGTCTCTGCCACTTTTATAATTTCTGTGTTATTTATTATGATTGTATGTATATATGTTCAAGCCATTCACTTTAATAACAATGTGTTATAATATTGTACTTTTATTAGTTCAGACAGAAATGAACTTCTGATCATCTCCAACAGTTTGAATTTTTTCTTTAAAAATTCCCCAAACCCATGAAGCAGTTGTAGTTTGTGAATAATCAGGATTTCCATGTCTCGTTAAAAAGTCTAATATCAAATGAGTTTGCCAAAGTTAATGCCATTTATATCTGAACTTGTGTTTTTAAAGACAAATGCTCATTTTGTTTTAGCACTTCAAAACTCCCCAAATTCCTAAACATCACTGCTGAAATAAAATCAGGGGGTGAGTCTTTTAAAATGCAACGCTTTGCATAAAAATGCCAGTTTTATGAGGAAATTAAAATTTGGATTTGCTTGTCTGTGTGGGATTTGTAGTTTAAAGAGTGATGAAGTTGGGCAGTTGAAAACTAGGTGGTGTGTAACGAGCAGGTCAGGTGTCATGGAGAAAAAGACCGGTCTGAAAATACTTAAGCATCCTGGGTGCTAAACTGTATAGATCGAAAAGTACAGTAAGGGCTCCTGCAAATACTGTTCCCCTTACAGTCTGTCAGTCCATTGGCTCAAGTTTAAACATTAGGAAGGAAGAGCAGATGTAATTTATGACTGAAAGCTAATGGATTTTTATAATTTACTGATATAAAGTCACAGAGAGCGACTGACACCACTTGAGGGTAAAGTGCAAAAGCATCATATTTGGATTTATAGGGTCAGTTCACTCAACTTACAAAAAATAAAAAACATTTCAAAAATCTCTCCTCCCTTCAGTAACATGTGGTCCAGTCAGATAATTTTGGTTTTATATGTCCAGGTCTGTAGATATCTACACTCCAGCACAATGGAGGTGAGCAGGGTTTCACTCTTAACTCTCTCCTGTTGTTGAGATGGAATAATTATTTCTATTGTACTGAGTTCAAGGCAGAAAACTCAAAACCTCGACAGACAAATCAAAACCATCTGTCACATATTATTAAAGGGAAGAGAGAGTACGTTTGGGCAAACTGACCCTTTAACAGCCACCGCAGCTTTTAGAAACTATATAAAAAGCATTTGAGTTACATTAGAAAAAGTGAAAATAGGTGTAAAAGCCATTCTTGTAGGAAGCTCTACTCCTGGTCACGTTCCTCCAGCTGGCGGCAGAGGTGATTCAGAGGCACGTTGGGAATGACTTGACACTCCGCTGTCTCCGTCTAGCTGCTCATACAGGTGGTTGCTCTGTAGAACTGCTTCTGTTCGCAAATTAATTTTCTGTGTTAAAGACAAAACAGGATTAGGAACTGTTCACTGTTTGTCAGTCTATATCTTTAATAAAATGTTAAAAGAATAGTTTGACATTTTGGGGAAACCAACTTATCTCACTGAGAATTAGATGAACTATCTCACTGCAGTGGTTTTCTGCTAGCCCCCCTCTTGCTGGTAAAAATACATTTGAGTCCCCCAAACTCGATCACCAAACATGATGGTCATCGATGTTGTAGAAGTTAAACCGGCAAACTAAGATGTGAACGCCAAAGTATAAAACAAGCTTTTGTGTACAGATGTAAGAGTGGTAGCAGTCTCCCCATCTAACACTTCTACCATTCCTCAAGTACTGTAAGTCACGAACATGCAGAGTTTTATGCACCGAAATAAAATGGGAGGGCTGTCTTTAAATAAATATAATTTTTTCGCAGAAGAAAATTCATAACATTTTCTATGTTGTGTTGACACCTGAGGGCTTCAGTCCAGATTATTTATCTGGTAGTTTAACCTAAATGCGACTACAAATATGGCTGTGGCTCATGATAGGGCAAGTCGTCTTCTGACCAGCAAGTTGGTGGTTCGACTCCCGGTCTCCCCACATGCCTAAGTGTCCCTGAGCAAGACACTGAACCCCAAATTGCTCCCGGTGGCTTGACGAACCCTGTTGTGTGGCAGCCTTGTCGTCATCGGTGTGTGAATGGGTGAATGGTGTATAATCTCCCTGTAAAGCGCTTTGGCCAGTGCATAAAAGCGCTATATAAATACAGTCCATTTACCATTTACAAATATTTAATCAACGGCAGCTGTACAGAAGAAAAGATGAGACAAAGTACCTGAAAATCTCGGATATAGGTGAAGAAGAAGCCGATGAAGGAGAAGCTCAGAGACCATTCAGAGATAGTGCTGAAGATGTGAGCTGTGTAAGCCTGGGAAAAGTAATTAAAATCCAATTAGCTATGTTTCTAACCTCAGTACCTTTGTATTCAGTTGTCCCCGTCACAGTGAGTCAAGTACTGAAGGCTAAACAATGGTCAGAGTTGTATTTTTGTCAGTCTTCTAGATCTTCAGCAGCTGCTTGTAGTTAGACAGCGTTGAACTTTTAACAGCTGTTACATGGAAAAAAGGTTTTATAAAGAAAATTAGCTTAGAAGTTAGTATTAGTACTGCAAGTCTGGTATCAGCACTTGTATTTTATTACAACACTATTTAAAAATGGTGCTCTAGAAAAGAAATACTCTGATGCTGTATAGAGCTCAGCCTCCACACACACACACACACACACACACAGGACTACTGACCGTCTCTCCAGGAACCCAGTGAAGTTTCAAAGCTGCATCCAGACTCGGCAGACTGCTGTACATGATGACTGACGATACGAACACTGGCAGGCCGTTAAGGGTCACAGAGGCACCACAGGACATGCGTTTTAATATTCAGCCGATGTTCTGAATGAGAATTTCCAACGTGTTTTGCTGCCTTGTTATTTGTCTGTGTGAACTGTGTGGGGAGTAAACTACTAGTTCATCTTTATTTCCCTGTAACGTTCAGGTACTGTAAGTGTTTTGAAAAATTGTGCAACAATTTGTTTTTACTTCGTGTGTACATTAACGGGAAGGATATGGCACACGAATAGATACAAGATGTTTGCAAAATGAGATAAGGATGCAAGTGTGTGTTGTGTAGATGTGTTACCGAATGCTGAAAACAATTTGAACTTAAAAATTCCAAGGCAGCAAAACATTAGATAATCAGAATTTGATCTGAAGTGTTCACTGAAAACCCAAGTCCTGCTTTATTAATTGCTGTGTTACAAACTTGGCTTTAGCATCTCCTTGCTGGCAGTGACCAAATTTAGCTCCAAGGACCTGTAAAAAATTGATGGAGTGCAGTGGAACTTGATTTAGTACTACCTCCTGGAGAAAAATGTAGCTCCTGCAACTTGCATTCAAAGCAGGTAGAGGGCAGTGGAAACAAAAGCAGAACCCGGGACAAGGCGTACAAATTCCATTACGGGTTCATAGGGTCCTATAATGTAAAAAGGCCTGTAGGTCGCAGGTCATTTGTTTCCTATAGTGGAAATCTGAACTGCAGTCGCTTACCAAACAGGGCAGACACATTGCAATGTTTGTCTAGGTATTGCCTTTTTAATTAATTTCATCAAAACTTTCTAGTTTGTAAGACGCAGCAGAAACAAAAGGCAGAAGCTAAAACAAATGTTTTACAGGCTCATAGAAGTTCAGGCTAGTGGCATCTTGAGCTTTTGGGTCGTCAAGTTCCAACTATAGAGAAGAGGTTTCAGACTCTAGAAACGACTCCAGGACATCTGTGAGTCCAGATCCAGTCTAAACACAAAGGGAGTTTATGAACAGCTTCAGGACCAGTTTCAAGTAAAATTATAATGTTCTGCTTTGAGTATTATCATCACTCAATGTTACAACACATTACTTCATCAACAGCTGGAGTCCATGTTTCCAGCTGTTGCTGTCTTAAAGGATACAGGCGATGATGCTGCTCAGGGTCCAGACACTGATGCCGAGGCGGACCAAGTAGACGGTCTTGCTGTGAATGTGAGGCTGCATGTTGAATGAGAGTAGTGTTTGAACCAGGATGTAGAGAGCACCGACCCCGAAGGTCAATACTGCCCCCACTATGTGCACGGAGAACATCGTGGTCCTCTGCTCGGACACACATAGTTTCACAGTCAACACATTTAGACACTGTGCAGGCTTGAACTGATCACGGATCAGCAGCGCTCACCTGGAAGTTCCCGACCACGCACATCCCGAAGCAGCTGATGCAGCCGAACACCAGTCCTAGGCCGTTCAGTTTGTGGAGTATGAGCTTGTTTTCGCCTGTGATAACTTTCAGAAGCTTGTAACGCACAAAAATCGTCGCTATACCTGCAAACACACACAGCTATTGATCAAAACAATCAACCTCCAATAACATTATATATCTATATATTTTGTTTTTCTTGCAAATAGAAAACATTTTGACAAGTTTTAAAATGGAATATTTTACAGCTATAATCAATAAATTTGTCAAACACACAAGTCCATTAAAAATGATCACACCTTTATATTAACCGTTGATTATGTCCTTCATTAATTAATTGTTCTTTTAAGGTTCAGGTTAGGATAATTATTGGCATGTAGCTGTCAGTTTTATGGTTAGGGGCTAAATAATGCATTGTCAGCAAGGGTCCTCACAATTACAGACACAAATTCTGTGTGTGTGTGTGTGTGTTACCGAAGAAGGCCGACACATTCATCATGATGCCAAACACACACCTCTCTGGTGCCGTTGTTCCTAGGTCACTGTAACACAGCAATGTTCATCACAGAGACTGTCTCACTTTGTTACAAAAGGAATAATGCAAAAGTTTATCACCAATAAAATAAAGAAGCAAAGTCAGTCTGGCATCTGTATTGAAATTCAATTCAAATGGCCCTAAAAAGGCGAAGCTCCTATCGTCAACTTCAGCCTGAACTTTAGGTCTCATTGGCTAAAACTTTATCATAGAAATGTACTAATTAAAATCAATGAAAACTACAATTACTGTACGTAGCACAAGAACTGACTGAAAGTGTAGCAACAGTACCTAAAGGGGAAATGGTCAGTGAATAGTCAGCGCCCGACTCTGAGAAACTGCAGTGTAGATTATTCTCCAACACTTGACTGATAAACTGATTTATCAGAAAAAGTACAGATAAATTAAAGGCTAACACATTTTTGTAGCCATGTTTTCTGTTACATGTACACTTTTGAAAGGGAAAATTACAAATGTGGTCATATGAGCTGTGTCAGTTTATAGGTGTGTAACGTCTCCCAACAAGGCAGGCAACACAAAATATTTAAGACTTTTTAATAGGGATCCAAATGTTATGCTGTTTTTAAAACTTAAACCCTGGGATGTAACAAAAATGACAGATGCACAGACCTCAACTGTCTGTGTCCAGATTCTGACCTGATGTATGGCACCAGAGGATCCACATGTCCCAGCACCACGGCTATGATGTAAGAAACGACAAAGGTCGTTGTCATCCAGACGACCACACCTACGGGCAGGATGCACAGACCTTTCTGGAACCACCACATTGCCCCTTCAATGAGTGTGCGCCTGTGTGCTGCTGGTTCACAATGTCCTGGGCACAACGCACATAAAGTGAGGCACACCCGTATACAGTATTGTTCAAAATAATAGCAGTACAATGTGACTAACCAGAATAATCCAGGTTTTTAGTATATTTTTTATTGCTACATGGCAAACAAGTTACCAGTAGGTGCAGTAGATTCTCAGAAAGCAAACAAGACCCAGCATTCATGATATGCACGCTCTTAAACACTGCTATTTTTTTGAACACACCCCTTTCAACTAATTGCCCAATTGCACAGCCTTAAGAGCGTGCATAACATGAATGCTGGGTCTTGTTTGCTTTCTGAGAATCTACTGCACCTACTGGTAACTTGTTTGCCATGTAGCAATAAAAAATATACTAAAAACCTGGATTATTCTGGTTAGTCACATTGTACTGCTATTATTTTGAACAATACTGTATATAGTACACAGAAGCTGGCCTCATCTGTGCTGCAGTTTCACCATCTTCTCCAGGACATGACATAAATAAATGATACAAGTGATCATTTATAATTACTGATGCCAACCAATGGCTGACTCAGGCTGTGAGAGGGCCACGGGCCAAAAAATAAGAAGGGTATCTGATTAATTCAGCATGAAGTGATGTGTATGTAATATGTAACCCTCAGTCAGATCTTTTGTGTTGCTACACACAAAAGGGAATAAGTCAGATCCCAGTAAGCATATGGATGGTGTCCCTACCAATGTTTTCGGAGGGACAGAAATGTCCCTAGCAGTATCTTAGCAAACCCATATTATATCAAAACAAGGTGCCCAACCTGCTGAAAGGGAGGAGGCAATCTAAAGATCACGTTACCTGCAAATGTCATGTGTCCCAGACACAAAGGAAGTAATAGCTGTTGGTCAGTGCACTGACAACATTATGTTACAGTGGCTGATTCTGGTAAAGTTGGAAAGATATTCATAGATCCCATGCTTCCGTATCAATAGCGAAATGCTGCTAAAATAAAAGCGACACCTCTTTTGTTTCATAGTGATGTAGACAACAAGCTACAAGCTCATTTTTGTCAAAATGAGCCGTTCTCTGCTCCAGAAAAATAGCATGGTCTCAGTGTGCAGCTGGCTGTGAGACGAGTTCACAGGGACCATCTACAAAGTGCAACACTGAAAAGAGACAGGCCTGCTACAAAAATATGTAAAAACTTTACTCTTAGTCAGTGTAGTGTTTCCACAGTCACCTCACACACCAGTGGCCACCGGCTGGTTATACTACAACCCCTAGTCAGGAAAAAATATGCTTTTCATAATTTGGGAGAATTTCTATTGGGAAAATATTCACTAACCTCACTCCTATACTGTAGTGTCACCAAAATCACTTCACACATTAATGGCCATCTGATTATACTGGTGAATTTTTATTAGAAAAAATATTCCTTCACTTCACTGTTAGGACAGCATTAATCATTATGGACAGGCTAGAAACCCCGTGGAAATCAATCATTTTGGTTGTTGGAAGCAGCATCTGGGTTTGCGTCACTATGGGAGCGCATCAGAAGTCATTTTAGCACTTTTCTACAACTGCATTTTACTTATTTGCAATCTTTTCCTGAGATGTAAAACTAATCTCAAACAAGTCTAGTAAGAAGCTACTCTATCCACATTATCCGAGACTTGCTACGGACCTTTGAATTATAAAAACGCCAGGGTGCAAGGTACAGAGAATTTTAGGAAAGGTCCTTAATTCTCACTGAGGAAGTGAAACAAGAAACAGAGAAAGAAGTCTGTAAAATTAGCCAACTATCACGCACAGCCTCATGCACCAAACGCCATCATAAAATCTGTCAATTTGAGGCGTTTCAGGAAATTTGGTAGCTACACGTCTCTCGCAAAACCATGTTTCACTATTCTAGAATCTATCAGAACATACAAGATGCATGCACATCGTTACATAATACAGTAACGTGAAGCTAGCTAAGTGCTAACGAATGTGTTTAACGTTATTTAAACAGCGTCAAAACTTCTAACAGGTAGTTGCTAATGTTGCTAATGTTAAACAGCAACGTCCAATAGCATTCATCCGCCAATTAACATTAAATACTCACAGTTTTACTGGCTGGGTCACACAACTGCCAGACTGAGGAAGTAACGTTCAGACCAAAACTTCGTATGGTCCAAGTTACAGTTCAGACCCAGTCACATTGACAAAAAGGCGGTTTTAACAAAACATGACGTTCATGTTATTCCGCCACCAACTAAAGTACTGGGCTCAATTTATTTCTAACCCCAACACATCAATAATCTTCGCTGTATAACCAAAGTTGTAGTTGCCAATGGTGAAGTGCGCATGCGTTTACCAACAACAACAAAATGTGGAGCATAAGCCCCGGGTTTTGCCTCGCAGGGAGTCTTCGACCAATGACCTCATTGGAATGTGCAGATGTTTTTGTTAAATGCCCACTTTTTTTTTGAATTTGAAAAATTTCCGCAAAAACTGTGGCTAGGTCCCAAAATTACAATTCTCAAAATATTACAACCGTTATTTTTTTGACAATAACAAAAATTCTTTTTTCTCAATGTATTTTTACTCAAAATGTTGACAAAAATTATTATCTCTAATCAGGACTTTTCTCATTAAATACCGACTTAATTCCCATTACTTTTTATTATTCTCACAGTAATGCAACTTTTGGTACTAGTAAATTACCACTTGTATTTTTGACATAGTATTTGGAATTACAAATGTATCTTTATAGTAATTTGAGTATTTTCTCAAAAATACAGCTAGTCTCATGATGGCATTTCTCTAACAATTCCAATTGTAATCTGTAAATAGTGTGAACCAGTTCTTGTGCAAATATTGTCTTCACAGTTGAAATGTTTTTCTTTTCCCAATAACAGTGCAACTTGTCACAATCATGACCTTTTTCTCATAAAACAACTTTATTTTCAATATATTACATTAATATACATTACATTGTTGTTATAAAATATTACAACTTTTCAGTTACAACTGTTTCTTTTTTTTGGTAAATTACAACTATTTGTTAAACTTTCACTCAAATTAAGACTAAATTCTGCTAATGATGATTCACAATATCAATTTCATAAATGTCAGAATCTTCCTAATATTTCTCTAATATTCCATCTTAAGGCATTAGAGGACAAATGTTTTATTGATTTAACACTTCTGTGTGGACAGTTGTGTTCCAATGAACCAATGACCAACAGTGTTCAGACAACTGAAGATTACGACCAAACCACCATGAACCTGAATGCATCCAGTTAAGACAATGACACTACTGTGAAGTTATTGTACATAAATTAATCAGTTAACACTTGGCATTATAAATGTTCTTGAACATCTTAAACCAACTGGAGGGGTTTATTACCATTATCTGCACATGGAACTGTTCAAACAAACGTAAATAAAACAGGCACACAATGGAAATGCAAGAAACTAATCTCTGCTGGTAGAGATCTTGACCTGAATACAAGGTCATCCTACAGGTTCTCTTCAGAAGCAGCAACATTAAACACTCTGAGTATAATGAGCTGTAACCATGTCATAACATTGGTAGATGCAGAGGCAGAACGAGCAGCGGCCACACTCAAACAGGTTTGTATTTACCAAGTGGGATAAAATTTGACCAGGGTGTTGTCAGTGACGCCCATAGAAACTTTCATCTCATCATGTGACTGCATCTCCTGCACATTCAGTCCATGTACACCTGTTCTGCTTCAGCGGGGATGTTTGGAGGGAGGCAAAGTAGGGCCGGCTACAAAACAGCAACTTGTATCAGCATGTTGACACAAATAACTATCACGGGAGCAGGACGTTGTTCAGTTTAAAGCACAGGTCTAGTTATATTCTTTATTTTTATCATTTCCTACAAATTCTATGAAGATTACAGGTGAATTAATCTACTAAAGTTTTATTTCACTGATCTCATATTGTACAGCTAATTCCTGGAAACCTTCTTAATCATTTCCGTAAAATTTAGGTGATATTCAGTTAACGTTAAGAAATTTCCTATTTTATTCAATTTAGCACCAACTGTATTAAGCTGTTGTAAGGGAGATGGTGACTGTGTTAAACAGTACTGTCACTAAGTTATATTTGACTTCTCAGGAAAATATTGGAAATTATAAGTAGTTCAGAAACGGATGTCACTATCATGAAAGTTTTCCAGAAAGGCTAACAAAAAATTTCTAATTCTTAAACAGAAAACATGCCACAATGAGCCACGTTGTTTTTACAGGTAATGTCTGTGGACATTAGTTAGAAATGTTTGTATGTTCAGCAGCAGCACTTATTGATCATCATATCAGTCAAACATGTCCAGTGCCACTAAAAACTAAAGTTGTACTATCGTGTATGGCACTTTTATTTTTTTGTCTTTATAGAAAACTGATGGGCATTGACATCTGTTTATTTTGCCACTTATAATTTACTAATTTATATTAATAGATGGCATTTCGTAGTCATTTCCCTTATGAATCGCAGATTGTGCAGGTGTTTCTTAGACATATCCTTGTAATTTGCAGTTAAATAGAATTATTTTTTAGGGAATTATGAGTAAAGTTTTCAAGAATTTCATGGATAATACAAGACCCATAAAATAGTGTTACAAAGTATTATGTGTATGTTTAATACATCTCATTTTCCTGTCACTGAGCGCCAGTGTTGTTAAAAAAAAAAGATTAAAAACATCAATGTTTACTAGGTGACACATCCCATGAACATGAATACACACTGTCAATCATTACGACTCCCGCATACACCATCTAGCTGATGGAAAAGGTTACTAGAGCGCGAAATGTGGATTCATCCACCACTGAAAATAGTCCCCACCAGTTCTTTGGGTTTTATTAATTGTTGCCATTTTAGGAAATTGAATATTTGTCAGCTGTTTTTAAACTAATCAATAGGAACTTATATCAATCATTAGGGCTTGAGGCTGAGCACCACAGACAGGGTGGGAAAGTCAGG